TGGTCATTTGTTATGCAAAGATAGAAAACTGACACAGGCAGCCAGAAATCCACACACTTAAAAATGAGGCAGAGATGAGGAATATGCTGGTACACTAGCTTGAAGAAAAGTGAGTGGGATATTAGCATTTGTTAATGCAGGCTACTTTTGCAGTGTAAGACTAGTCACTTGGCTGGTGAAGAATGAATCTAGTGGGGCATATTCGTTCATTCATAGGAGAGTATTTATTCAGGTACATAGAGAGCATTCACTTGGGTTAATTTTGCAGTGTTAGAGAAACATTTAGGTAAATAGATAACTGCATTTTTTTTTTTTTTTGGTTCACAAGAAATCCTGAAAGAAGTTTAGAGATGTTACAGACAAAAGCATGTGTTCTGACTTTAAATTATATCTGAATGAAGGATACTTTAAAAAAATGTTTCATTTACTAGAGGAAAGATATTTTGAGAAAGCCAGATGCAAACGTATACCTTTTGTCCTCTTTTTCTTTTAAACAAAATTTTAATTCAATTTGAATTGATATGAGTGATAGAAAGAAAATTCAGACTGTAACCAGAAGAACTGGTGCAACATCTGCTGTGGGTGTGGAGGAGAGGATCCTCTTGCCTCCTTACTTTTTTTCCCCACTATTAAACAGGAGGGATTAGAGATTTCTGATTGATTTCTCTTGTTGCCTTTCATTGTTCATGAACTTACGGCTGCGTTTCGTTGACTCCAAAGTAATTTCTGAAAAAAGATCTGCTGACATCACAGGGTATCTGGGTCATTTACCATGTCAATGCTGACCGAGGAAATAATGTTCTAGTAGAAGACGGTTATTTGTTCAGAATAAAGGCTGAGATGTTGCCATTTTCATACATGCTTATAAACGGTATATAGGGTTTTTATTTTGTGGAAAGCCACCAGGACATCTGGAAGCTAAAGGGAAGGCTGCTGACGAGGTAGGAGTATTGGGAATATTATTGTATTCTCCCTTCTGTCCCACTGCTCCTAGAAAATAGAATAGCCGAATTTTGTCCCCTAGTTTTTAGACACATTCATTCCTTTATTCTGTTAGAGAATGTGCTAGCCCTGACAGGGGAGGGAAGGCAAGACAGGGTACAAAGATGAATGGCAGAGGGAAAAGCTGATTCGGAAAATAGAGCCTATGGAGAAAAATTGAAGAAATGAAGAATCTTTTGCCTGAGGAAAAAAAAGATGGGCTTTTAAAAAAACCTTGAAGTATAGTTGCTGACAATATTATATAAGCTATAGGTATACAATATAGTGAGTCACAATTTTTAAAAGTTACATTCCAGTTATAGTTATTATAAAATATTGGTTATATCCCTCATGTTGTACAATATGTCCTTGTAGCGTGTTTCATGCATAATAGTTTGTACCTCTTACCCCCCAGCTCTATATTGCCCGTCTCCACTTCCCTCTCCCCCTGGTAACCACTAGCTCTCTGTATCAGTGAGTCTGCTAAAGATGGGCTTCTTACAACTTTTCTTTTCTAGCAGAGGTTGGTAAATGTTTTTTGTGGACCAAGAGGCATCACCATATTATATAGTAGTACTGTGTAGATACTATGTAGAGAAAACAAGTTGCCACAACATTTTTACTTATGAAATTAAAAATATAATAACTGAGCCCAAGGTTTTAAAAATGCACATCTACCGATGAAAAGAATAGAATTATTTTGGGGAGATAGCATTTTGCTTATTTGGGGTCACAAGTTAGTGTTCCCTATTATCAAATAGGTTGCAAATACTCATCTGTGAAAACTATTCTTAGTTCACAGTCTATACAAAATTAGATGCTGGGCCACATTCAATTCACGGGCCATGGTTTTCTGGCCTCTCCTTTAGAGTGTTTTAGAACACTGACAACGAGTTATTCTCAGCATCCGTCAGGAATTGTATTAAACGAAATGAACACGAATGTCAGTGATAGGAATCAATATTCTAGAAACAGAGTAGGCAAGCGCTGTGGGGAAGAAAATATGGGGAATGAACTAACTCTTTTGATCTTTGAATTTAGACAGAAAAGAAATCTCCTAAAAATCTATACATTCCATGCTATACCCAGGCAATATCTATTTTTTCTAGGTGATAACTTTACAAGTATCAGTTTTTATGTTTTTTCTTCCATTATGTAGTTTTAAAGCTTACTTTTGTTAATGTACAAAATAAATTTTACCTGTAAATAAGGTCTGGACCTAAAAATAAACAACCTATTCTCAGTTAAGGTCTGTTGATTTCCATGAAGTAAATACAATGTAAGAGTTTTCAATAAAACAATGCACTTACAAGCACACTTTCTGGATTTTTTTCTTATTTCTTTTATTGCAGAGTAAAACTCCATTATTAGGTACCACAATTTATTGTGGGTGAGGTTTTATTGCAGACAGAAATTATCCTTCTCTAATACAGGGGTGTATATTCAATGTTGACTCATATGTCCCAACCACCAGTGCTTCTGGCTGTCTTCCTAAAAGGAAGACTTCAGCTGTGATGAAGATAAACCAGGCTCAACTGTGTTAGCGTTTTCCAAGTACCTCAACATCACAACTGCTACATCTTTTGTCAGGAAGGAAAACTCAGCAAACACATATAGTACTTGCATTTAAGCCTTCTGATCAAGGTAGAAACAACTTTAAAATGAAACTTAATTTTAGCAGAGCACTCAACATATGCTGTTCTTCTACCTTGAGCCTTACTTTTGTCTAGTTTGTATAGAATGTAATATCTTTCCTCCTTCTAAAAACGTATGCTATTTATAAGGTACATTGTAAAGCAAATAACACTTCCCTAATGCCTACTAATTCTTTAAGGCTCCGCCCTTTCCAGGAAACTCCTGTCTGCAGCCCTCACACCCAGGTCAGGTCACTGCCTTCTTGGTGGTCCTACACTCTATGTCCTTATTCCTAGCATTATACTTCCACATTGTTTTATACGTCTGTTTAAAAATCCATCTATCTAATTAGACTTTGGGCAAGGTTAAGGTGGGGATCACATCTTATTCACCACTGTTCTATCCTTGGTACCTAGTGCAGTGCAAACCTATAGTAGGAACTCACTATAAGCTTCCTAAATTAAGGGGTAAATGAACTGATGCACTGAGGGGCAACTAGACAAGGTTGGATCAATGCTGCTTTCCAAGAAGGTCACTGTTTTCTCCACTGTTTTCCAAGAGGGTGAATGAAACTATGACATAATTCTGGATATAGAATAAGGATGAGGGCCAGAGAAGAACAGGTAATGGAAAACGAGGTGCCCAAGAATGAGGAAGGGGCTTTGTCAGAGAGTAGGAGGAATGGGAAGTGGCCTGTGGGTTGCTGGACCCAGTTAGGGCAAACAAGGTGAGCCCTTTGTAATGCTGGCTGCAGGGTTGCCAAATCGATGTGGGTTTTTTTCTTTTCTTTTCCTTTCCCTTTCTTCCTTTGATCTTTCTTTCCTTCCTCCCTTCTTTACTTCCTTCCTTCCTTTCTTTTCCTTTTAATTAATTAATTTGCTCATCCTTACCATTTTGTAATGTCTTTTTAAAATTCCCCATCTCTACTGCAAGTAGTCTAAGGAAGGCTCTGTGTGGCAAAGCTTTAAGGGGACAGAGCTCCCTCTATGTTGAGGGCCACTGGAGTGGTAATGAGGAAGGAAAATGGGAGGATCCCATCACTTTTTCATTGCTGAAAACACAGAAATTCTTCCTTTTGTTAAAATATGGGTGATGGGGTTGAGGGGAGAAGGAAAGATTTTCTTCTGTGGGAGCATTTTCCTTGTCCTTTAACACCAGTCCCCAAAAGGGCTTTTATGACTTATCAACACCCAGGACTGCAAGTACAACCCCAGATTCCTTCCCACATCTGTACTGTCCTTCTCACTGCATTTTGGGGGACTGGTTTAGCTTCCTGTGAGGAGTCAACACACATCTTTGATATTTGACCCACCTAAGTTTTTTCTCCCTTCTTGTCCTGCCCCATTTCTAGCTACTGGGGCTAGAGAATAAGCTGTAACTTGAGGAGCAGCCGTGCCCTGCCCACCTCCACAGTCATGATTAGCTGTAAACCCAGGAGCCTGCGGCTGGGGGGCGGGGTCTGCCCAGGGCCCCAAGAAGCATCTGCAGGAGACTCCGGGAGGGTAGAGATGTGGACATGGCTGATTTCTACGTTCACCAAGTGCCTAGTCGCCCTGCCACATATTCAAGAACTATGTCTATGTATGCAGGAGAACTTCACAGTTTTCATTTTTAAAATTCACCTGATACTAATTAGAGAATGAGAACAGTTATTAATTTTTTATAGCAGTCAGTTTTCAGAAAAGGAAAGAGTAAGCTCATATAAATGAACTTTGAAGCAATATATTTTCCAAGAGAAAATGGATGTGATAACCTAATGGAAGCATTGACCTGGCAAGGAATGTGAACCTGCTCACTGTGAATAGTGAGCTAGATTGCTGCTTACATGTTAAAATTTGGGAAAAAGTTGAAGCAAGTTTCTTTGTTTCTTTAAGTATTGTCTCTTCTCTTGTTATTGTCTGATGTAGGCAAAAGTAGTTAATACTCTGATACAAAGGGCTAATTTTTGTAGTTTCAGAAAGTAACTTAAATGTTTTCCAGGAGTTTGTAGACATGTTCCTATATTTGTAAAGGAAATATAAGGAGGATTTAATGTTTGATATTTTCTAAAATCTTTGAAACGATTTTGATGGCGCTGCATTTATAATACCAAAGGTTGAGAAAAGAAGAAAACCATCCATCCAGATTTAAGCCATTCCAAGGGCAGGATTATATACATATCCAGAGGCTCATCCATTCCAATACTTGAGCAGTTGAGCCATTAAGCCTTCAGAATTACTTGGGAATAGTCTTTCTACCATTTGTGTATCATAATACTCTTTTTACTGTTGTATAAACATATTTTTATCAATACTTGCAAGAAAGCCTACTTTTAATAAACTAAGTAACAAATGTAAACTATAGGATTCATGAGGGTAATTAGTCCAAACAGCTGGCATACTTACAATTGCATTTCTTCTGAACAAACCTCAGCTTGCACGCTGTTCTGTAGGTGGAGAGTCGGATGCGATCCAGATCTTGAGCCCCTGGGGGAAGAAAAACGTACACATGTGGTGTGCCATGCGTGTGGAAAGAAAGTGGTAATGTTTATAAATAAAACAACTACAGATCTAAACTATACACTTAATTTGATTTTTATCGTTATTAGAATACAAGTTTAACTTTAAGACTTGAAAAGGTCTGTCCCATATTCCTCAGGTTCTGCGGGAAGGCAGCACGTGTATCCAGCACGGAGATCAGGTTATTGACTACGTTCATGGGCCAAGGAACACAAACTCAGCCCTGTGGTGTCTACTGCTTCTGAGGACAGTCTGCTCAAGCTGTGACTTAAAACGGTTAGATGATACCAGATAGAAACATCATCAAATAATCATTTTAAGTGGTCACTAGAGCATGGCTGTGAGGTGAGCACAGGCTGAATGCTGGTCATCTTTTCTTGGTGACTTTAGGCCAATTGTTTTTAGAAGCCTCAGTTTTCTCACTTGGAAGATGGGGCTGACAACAATATTACTACTTATTTCATAGGATTGTTAAAAGGATAAATGAGTGCCTATAACCTACAGCGCTGGGAACACTGCCTGGCACACAGTAAGTGCATCATTATTACTCCTGTCTATCTTGCAAAGCTTCCTGTCAACCTCAGAGGAGACTCCTTTCTAAAAAACAACCCCTGCTATTTCTGACACTGTGGCTTCCAGTTCCTCCCTAACATGGCGTGTTCCCCACATTCTTGAACTACTTTCCTCATCCACTCCTCTACTCAAGAATCCAGCATGGATTCTGATGCCTGCAGCACCAGGGCTGAATGTTCAGCTCAGAATCCAAGCCCCTCTGCAGGCTCTTTCTATCCTACGTACCCCACCCCACAACATTTCCCACTGCTCTCTACCCCCGAACCTCTGCCGTGCTTGGCCCGATCTCCTAACCATCCCCTGCAGATGGGCTGCTTGTTAAATCGACACCTGAGTTCCTGGCCATCCTCCCACCCTCCTCTGAATGGGCTAATTTCTAGGACAGAGTAGACTTTCAACAAATGTCTGTTCTTCTCTACTTCTAACTATTTGGCTCTCTTCAAGCCCACGTTTATGGTTCATAACAGATATTAAGGCATATGGCTATATTTTGACATGTATTGAACCTTCTTTTTACCAGTAAATGTGCTACAGAAATGCTTTAGAAGAGTTAGGGCAGCAAGTAAATGAACCGGCCTAGAAGCAATTATATTAGGAGGCCAATTAAGTGCTTTCCTAATGAAACTTGGGATCAATTAGCAAGTGTCCCTCACTGAGAGCATTTATCATTCCCTCACCTCACACTGATCTCTTTAGATTCATAAAAAATACTATCAATACTTCTATTACTCTATGGTGTTATGAGGCAGATCATTAAACATTCATTCTTATGAGAGTTTATTACTTGACAAACAGACTCATTGATACCGAGTGCTCGAAGGATCAAAGAGGTAGGACTTACCCTCACCCAATGCAGGAATTTGCCTAAACATGTTCTCAGTAGATGGACATTTATCCAATGTCCATGTAAGATTATTTCCAACGATAGAGATGATTATAATTTAGTGAAAATATATGAGCTTTAAAGTCAGTAACTCTTAATCTTTCTCTTCCTTGTTGTGTGAACTTTGACAAGTTTTTACTTGCCATCCGATTTCTTCATGTACAAAATGAGGATAATAGTATCAACTTTACCAGCTGGTAACCTCTGTGGCTGGTACCTAGTGAGCACTTAATAGCAGACAGACCTCCTTATAATGTTTCAGGTGTCATTTCTGAGCACCAATAAGTGATAGAAATTTCTTTTTTATATTTGGGCTTTAATTTGCCTCCTTATAACTTCAATCCGTTTGATCTGGTTTCCCTTCTGGAGCCATATAACCTTTTCTCCCTGTCTATTATAAACTTGATTAATTTATTCCGCAAAGATTGGGAAGCAGCTATCATGATCATCATTAGCATCTTCATTACCATCTGGACATTATGTACAAAGGTGTCTGTCATCACAGAGTTTAAAGTTTAGATGGGGAGGTAGCTTATCCTTGACCTTCTTAGGTTGAAGATGTCCAAGTCCAAAGTCATTTCAAGTATCAACACAATGTCTACCACAGAGCACGACACATAATGGGCTTCAATACATGGATGCTGCTATTATTCTCATTATCATCAGACACGGCTTGGAGACCAGACCCTTAAACATTCAAGTTATCCTGTTCTACGGCTGGCTAATACCTCCTTGAAATGAGATATACAAAATTAACCCAAATGCCACAGCTATTGCCCCACCTGTATGGAATGTATAGAATACAATAGTTACCACCATTGATGAGGACATTTACTGATGCAATTTTTTCATAGATAGCTCATTCTTCTGGCTCTTATTAAGCTAGCAGTTCATTAAAAAAGCTAGCTTTTAAAAATCATATGCACTTTTATTAAGTTAGGTCTTTTCTATTTTCTATTTAAATGCTTATTTGGGGGCTAAAGGTAGGACTTCATATTTAATCTTAGTTTCTTTTACTTTGTAGCTCATGCTTCTACCTTTCTGATATTTAAAATATTTTTGATTTTGTCACTGGCATTTCAAAGGGCCTTCCCAGTTTCATGTCCTCTGTAAATCTGAGAGGCTTATGTGGGAAATGAACTCTCTAGGATGCTGGATAACCAGAGACACAGAGACCATCAGAAATACATGAACGCTAAATCTTTTACCCCTGGTTGAAGATGTACTTTTAGTGATGCTGAGTTTGGCTCAATAATCAAGAGAATCTCCATATCTGTAAATAATCCTTTAAAAGAAGACATTAGAGACATAGATGATTTATGTAAGTTCTTCAAAAATAATGATTTAAGCTCCAGGTATAAAACGACTATGATGCAGTACACGATTAAATTTCTTAGTTCCAGCAAGACCTCATCCTCTGAGAAGAGAAACTTTGGCTCCTCTGCTCCTCCATCTCATAGAGGTCCTGGGGGCATTTGGCTAAGGTGCCGCTCTCCAGGATGCAGTAAAGAGGGACATAGAGATGATGCTTAGGGTCAGGAGTGTACTGACCGCTCTCCTCTGCCCATCACCATGTGGACTCAACTGACCCTCTGTTTTGTTCAAGCCTCAGGAAGGGGTCCGGAGGTCTGTCAATGTCTCCAGTTTGTGAAAGTTCTTCCTGGCTGAGGATGTAACCCCTAAATATTAAAAGGGATGTGGTGAGCTGTGAAGTTTAGCTTTTCAGATACAACGGCCCATTGCCTCACATGGACCATGTAAGTGGCAACCATGGGATCCATCATGGATTCTGGAACCCAAAAAAGCTGCACTGAGACAGGCTGGGCAGGTTCTTGCTCCATTTACCCACCTTATTTAAAATAAATTTGTCTCTGGCCCAATAAACCATGGACTTAGTTCAGTTTGACATGTGTGGTCTCTTCTTGAAAGTCTATAAATTCATAGCCTACCTTGAGAGTAGTCTCATGTCTTCTGTGTCCAAGTTGTTGCCTAAAATCTAAGACCTGACCAGGTCCACAGAGTCTTCCAGAATACAACTGGAGGCTGTCCTCCAAGTTGATGAATCCATTACTTATTCCTCCAGACATGGTCACAACATGGTTACAATCCCTACCTAATTGTACAAAGATCCAGCTCACGTTTTCCCAACGCATGCACAATCTAAGAGACTTTTGTTAGTATCTTGCTGAAATTAAGGTTCATTTTTATCCTATGGTATTTTCCTGAGCTAGCAGTCTAGTAACCTTATTAAAAAGGGAAATTAGCTCACTTAATTCATTTATAAAAAAGATGGAATTTGGATAAATGAATAAGGAAATGAGGTCAATAGAGTAATCCTTCTTCTTAGCATGTTGAAATGTCTAGGATTACCACTATATTTTGTCCATGTTCTGAAAAAAAAAATCCATTTTATCTTGAAACCTACATCAAATTCACACTCTATACTCTCAAGAAACTAATTCTTCCTTTTAAATAAAAAAATTGTACAGCACTTCCTTATTTTTTTGCAATGTCCTCTTAATTATTTCTCAAATTTATAGTGTCTTTTCCATTATTATTATATCACTGGGCTATAATTCTTTAAAACATGGAGACTTGACTCATCTAAATAATATCTTAGATTAGATTTGCTTCATAATTATATGGTGGGGGCTGGGGGTAAATAATTAAGGGTAGAGATGAACAGTATTTTCTCTACTTCTGTATATATTTAAAACTTTTCATAAGAAAAATTTAAAGCTAATTCATTTAAGGCAAGTTGATGCTCTTGCAACATCTCCTCAAACCTCTCACACTCAGGTCATAGCTGGAAAAAAATGATAGACATGAAAGCAAAGATCCAAGTTCAGAAATTCTGACTGATCACATTGTTACTTTCTGCAAATCCTGTTTTTCCTTTCTTTAGCTCTTCTTTTCAAGATTTTTTCTCCTCCCTCTGTCCCTTCCTTCCTCCTGCCTTCTTTCATTCCTTCCACTCATCCATCCATCCATCCATTCATCCAGCCAGCCAGCCAGCCAGCCAGCCAGCCAACCAACCAACCTGTCTTATCTAATTTTTGGCTTTAGCTTCGTTCATTACACTTTGAACAGTTTCACACAATTCATATGTTTTGCCTTATATGTTTTCATAGCTCATTTATAAAACCTTTTATAAAATCATTCAGATTCTTAAATTTCTTACTCATTTTTTAAACTCACCCAACAAATATTTATAGAATAAAGATGAAGCCTATGAACTCCATGTCTAAACTCTTTTTCATGCTTGATGATTGACTGGATGTGTGTGTGTGTGTGTGTATGTGTGTGTGAGAGAGAGACAGAAAGAGAGAAAGAGAGTGAGAGAGAGCAGGCAAAGGAGTTTTGGGGTCAAAAATAATGTTCAACTTTCTATCTTAGACAACTCAGTGGGATGGGTTGGCCCTCATTGAGCTAAGGTACCAACAAGGGGGAACAGGTCTATAGGTGTGGGAAGATGAAGGGTTTAGTTTTGGGCTTACAGAGTTTGAGTTGT